TTTAAAAAAGAATCCAAAACTTGTGTCTGGCAAGCCATTCTGATTGGGGTTCATGAGGAAGAGAGAGGACCAAGCAGGGGAACGGCCGGTCAGCCGAGCGCTGGGAATGATGTGTATGACAGGTTGAACGTCCCTCATCTGAAATGTTGGGAACAAAAATGTTTCCGATGTCATATTCTGGAATATTTTGACATACATAATGAGCCCTCTTGGGGGGTGGGACCCAAGTCTGAACGTGACATTCATTTTGTTTCATATATACCTTACGCACCTAGCATGGAGTCATCTCGTGTACTATTTCTAATGACTTTGTCCATGACAGTTCGTGTGTACTGAACCGCAGGCTTTTTTGGACATTTCCTCTTTTTTAAAAATTATTTAATTGTATTTATCATTATCATTATTTTTTAAACTTGCTACAGGGCCTGTGCACCCACCAGAGACAGAGAGAGAGAAAGAAGAGAAAGTAAACCACCAGGTCTGGCGCTCTAACCGCGGCCAGTCATGTGGAAGGCAGTGGCTTAACCACCATGCACCTGCTGGGCCCGTCTTTCCTCTTTTTTAAAAAACTTTCTAGAGGGCACGTGTAGCTGGAGCGAGTTAAGGAGAGGAAGAGAAAGAGGGAGAGTGAGAAAGCACCCCCAGAGGGAAGACCACACCACAGTCCATTCTTTCTCGAGATTCTGGGCACACATGCACGCACACATGCCCGGTGTGTTTTTCAAGCCCCTGGTCCAGGACTTGAACCATGTGGTTCTCTCTTAGTCCCTCTCTGGTCAAATTGAAATAAAGAAATGAATAAACAAATGACGTTAAATTAAAACAATGTAAAACAAAAAAAAAAAAAAAAGAAGAGAAAAACATGCCAGGTGTATGCACGTGTGGGCTCAAAATCTCAAAAGGAAAGATGGAGGAGAAAGGATTGCAGTATGACCATCCCCCATGGCGGGTGATTTCTCACCCTCCCTCCACCCCGTCCCTCTATGGTGAGCACACACACTCTGGCAAATAAATAATAATAACATAATGTAGTAGACATCGGGGAACCTGTCACCCAGATTTATCAGACACTATCGTTTCAAATATTTTTGGAATAAAATACCAATACAGATAAGGCTGAAAGCCTCTGTGTGCATCCCATTTCCTTTCGTCTCTCACCAAGGTCACGTCTATGCCCGAAGTTGGTGTCACTCTCCTGACCCTTCAGCATTATTTGGGTGTTTGCAGTTTCCCAGTTCAGGTACTCACTGGGCCCACCCTTTCACAGTGTGCATCCCCTCAGCTAGCACCATTTGGGGTATGCTGATACATGCAGATCTAGTTCTCTCACTTTAACTGCCATGAGCCAGCCCGCTGTAGAATAGAAAGCCATTTGTTTCTCCATTCTGTTTTTAATAGACACATGAGGGGTCTTCAAAATGTCCATTGAGGGAACCAGCAGTTAGCATAATGGCTATGTCGCTGGACTCCCATGTAGTCGACCGTGGTTTGCGTACCGGACCTGGTGGCTTAAAACTCATGTTGGGCACCTGTGCGTGTGTGCCCAAGATCCCGAGAGGAGAACGGAGGAGAAGGGACTGCAGTGTGACCATCTCCCGTGGGGGGTGATTTCTCGCTTTCTGTCTCTGTGTCTATCTTTCTGGCGAGCGCATGCGCCCTATAGTGAAAACCTCTCCCCACCCCCCCAAAAAAAAAATGTCCATCGAAAACACATATTATGAAAGAATGTGCATGGATTTCAAAATTCTTTGCACCAAAACAAACTCGTACTTTAATTCCATTTCCCCACAAACTCTGAAGTACCCTTATATAGGTAGTTTTTAATTCTTTGCTATTTCAAGCAGTGTAGCAATAAAAAGCTCTCAATACATGACCAGGTGCACACGCGCATCACACACGGCCCTTGCAGCTACATGTTGGCGCTTGGGCACTCCCGCGTGATCGTGATTGTGGAGAACTGCCTGATGCCTCAGAAGGTTCGTTTTCTCCTCAGTCAACCGGGGCAACAAGACAATATGCACGTCTGTGAAGGGTCTGTGCTTGGACGTAGATGGAAAGCACTTTACCACCTGGAAATAGCTCTGCAGTGGTGTTCATTACCCAGGTATCCAGCACTGGGAATGCACTGAGCACCTTCCCATGCTGGGAATGCCATAGACCAGCCCCAGTGCAGGCCTGTGTGCTCATGTGCAAACGAGCGTCTCATGGGCAGGTGTGCCAATGAAAGCACACACAAGAACCTAGGCTCACTGATCTTGTCTGGAGTGGAAGAGGCAGGTGGGGCTTCCCGGAGAAAGCGACACTGAGCTAAGGGCTCAGAAGGTGAGGTGGGTAAAAAAGACGAGTGAGAGACGGAGGTGGGCAGCTGGCCAGAGAGAGGAAGCAGCGAATGTGAAGGGACTAACTGGCACAAGGGAACAGGTTGGAGCTTAAGGGGTGGTTGCAAGCGAGTGGAGAGAAGAGGTGAGCAGAGCTGAGGGCAGCATCCCAAGGGCAGCAGGGAGCCGGTGGGGATTTTAAGCAGGGGATGGACAGGTTCAGAGCTGCACATTAAGAAATTCAGTCTGATCAGTGTGGAGGGGGACACAGAGGAGAGCCCGGGGTCTGGGAGACCGACAAGGGGAATGTTAAAGAGGGGTAGGCAAAACACAGGGAGGGCTGAACTAAAGCAATTGGCACTTCCGCTCCAAGAGCCTGTCCTCCAGTCCCCTGGGTGGCCACTGCCTTCCTGAAACCCGGGACGCACGTGGCCTGTCTGGTTACAGGGTCACGGACACCTTGCTGACCTCTGAGGCCTTCACGTCTCGCTCCTAAGCCTCCCCCTCCGTCTGTGACTCACACAGGGGCCATCACCCTGACACATGCCTCACACACATGTGGCAAGGCGTTATCAGGAAAGGGGGTGCATCAGCAGACAGGATCCTCACCCTAATTCCAAGAAGTCTGACCTCACGCATCTCAACCAGCCCTCTTCTAGGGCACACTGAGCCTCTTGTGGGGCACAGCATCGTGAGCTCACAGGATTCCAGATGACAGAAGCCCTTTTGGCTTTTCGGCATCAAGGGCATGGCTAGGTCCTCACTGATGTCCCTGGTAAGAGGTCCCACCTGTCAGTCACCACCAGGAGGCCTTGTCTAACATCTAAACTTCAACATTTGCATTGGGACAAAAATAGACGCATGAGAACTGCCTCAGACGCCCCACCCCTTAACATCCCTCGTTGACTGGGTATACCACTTTTGAAGCCTCTATCCCCCGTGGCTGGACGTGTCCCTGGCCCTCCCCTAGGCTAGGCTAAAGTCCTGGCCATCCATGCCCCCAGCTCGCCACACTTCTCTTCACTCACTCCTCCCTTTCAGAACCACAGGTTAGTTCCTGCCTCCCTTGCTAGGCTGTGAGGTCCCCCATGGGAAGACGTGCATACACCTTCCCCACGTCTCCTTGGTGCCTGGAATAGAGCAGGGCTCGTAATAGCCCGCTGGCCCTGTCCCCCGCCCTGCCCCCCAGCCCCCCCACTACCACGGAACGTTTGTGAGTAGGAACCATAAGACGTGCTCACTGATGGAGAGGAGACGGTGGAGGACTCCCCGGTTTCAGGCCCTGAGAGAGAAAAAGGGTCTCACCCACGTCACAGGTGAGGAGGATCACAGCTCCTGCCCGGGCCCTCTGCCTCTCAGGCGGGGCCTTTCTCACTCACTAGGGTGGGCCATGAGGCTTCGAAACCCACAGAGGAGTGTTCTGTAGTTCAGCCGTTTAGCTTGAGAAACTCTAGGTTAAGCAAAATGAAAACCCCTCTTTACTGTTGGTCTTTCCAGAACCTCGATATGCTCACAGGCCTATGATCCTTGGAGCAGGTGGCCACGGCACCCCGTCAACCTGGCCATGAAACCCTGCCTGTGGAACAGGCCAGAACCTGTGTCATTGCCACCCAGCAGCTCACCGCATCTAAGGGACATGGCACAGTGGAGACTGGTGGCAACTTTTTGGGTGGGATAGGAAAATCATTTTTTTACAAATGAAAACGACTCCAAGCCTCAATATATAAATAACACAAAACCAGAACTGCTCTGGTTGAAGGGGGCCCTGGAGACCCATCTGCCCTCCACTCGCTGTTGCCATGCGAGGAACCCTAGTGCCCTGCGGAGCCCGGTTTGAAGGTCACTGGTGCAGAACTGTGAGCGTGGGACTGGCGGCAGGGGACTTCTGGTGCTGGCTCTGTCTTCAGCCACTCCGCCTCAGGCATGTCACTTAGGCTCGCTGGGCCCCAGCTCCCCTGTATGTACACTGGGCTGCTAGAATGGATGCTTTTTGGAGTTCCGAACTTCCGGCTTTGTTAGGAAGGGGCCTCTGGCTGTGTGCCTGCGCAGGTCTGACGCCGAGACCCCGTGGCTCTCCGATGCCAAGATTCCAAGGCTCCAAGGCTGCGTATTGTGACTCCGGGACTGCCTGTAGCCAGCCCGGCCTGGCACACCCGCTGGAGCCCAGGCTGAGCACAGTGGAATTCATTAATGGCAGCGCACTGCCCAGAGGCACAGGGTTCCTTGGGGAGGGCATACGGGATGGAGGGGGTGGGGCTGGGGGGAGGGGCAGGTGGACAGGAAGAGCTGCTGGCAGCTGCTCAGTGGGCAGAGGTGGGAGAAGGACCCAGGTCTCCTGACTCCTGCTCTATCTTTAGATCTCCATAGCAACCGTCGCCAGGGCGCCTGGAGCCAAAGCAAGGGCTGAGCCTGCTCCCTGCAGGAGGGAGCGGAGTTTGCTAAGGGAAGGACTCTAAACTGGGCTCTTGAGCCAGGGAGGGGAGATGGAGAGGGGGCGGCTTGGGGCCAATACAAGGTAGTCCAGGTCCCTAGGTTGCTCTGAGAACACGGCCAAGACATAGAGCCCAAGACCTCTGGTGTGTCAGGCTCATGGCAGGGAGGTAGGTGCAGCAGCGTCCTCCTCCGAAGCTGGTAGCCCCTCCCGGGTCATGTCGGTCCTGGTGCTGAGGCTACAGGCGAACAGGCCCTTTGACCCAGGGAAGGGAGGCTCCTCCCACCTTCTCTGGCTGGACTGCACTGCTCCTGGAGCTCAGCCTGGACGTGGCTTCCTCCAAGGAGCGCCGGACCACATGGCACTCGCCTCCCCGGGGCTCCTACAGCACCCTGTCCGCAGCAGGGGCCGGGGGCAGGTGAGACAGGGCGGTTCTGAGAGGTAAAGGCACTTGCCCAAGGTCGCCTGGCAGGTCAGCATGGAGCCAAGCCTGGTTTCTTCCTGGTCCCAGCAGCAGACCCCAGGCTTGGGCTTTGGAAGGGCCAGAGCTAGAAGAGGAAGTAGGAGTCCTCGGCCAGGCCGGCGCCCAGCAAGCACCTGGCCACATCCTGGGTAAACTCGGCCGAGCCACAGACCAAGGCAAATGGCTTTCTCCGGCAGCCGCTGACCAGCTCTCCAATCAGGTCCTGGTCCAGGCGGCCAAAGTGGGTTTTCTCTCGGTAACTCCAGGGAAGCTGCTCTGGAGAGTTCTCCTGGGAAGACGAGAAATCGTGGGAGTGACTACTGGGGGGGCCTCAGAGTTCACGCAGCCAGCTCTTTGTCAAGCAAGGAAACGGAGGCAGGGTGGGAAGTCCACCTTCAGCAACCGCTACCATGGGTTGAGTGCTTCCTTCCCGTGCTCACAGCAAGCCCGTGGGTAGCCTGTTACCTCCAGCAGGTGAGGCGCAGGGAGAGGAGGGCCTTCTCCCAGGACACGCGAGGCAGGGGCCGTGGCAGGACTTGAACTCGGGTTCCTCCATTTCTCACTGCCTCCCAGGAGCAGCTGACACTGCAGGAGGAGTGTTATTTGCCCACAACTGGGGGGCTTCCCCCAATCACCTTTGCAGCATAATTTCTGCTCAGTTGTACTGAGGGTTCACTTAACTTTTTCACTGAACAGAAACTGATTGCATGTCCACTTTGTTCCAGGCACAGACAAGGTGCCCGGCCTCGCCCCTGCTGCTGGCCCCTAGCAGCATCTCGCCAAGGAAGTGAAGGCTGTGGCATAAAACTGTCACTGTTGTCAGGGGACCCAGGCTCCCTCTCTTTCTGCTCTCTGGCCTGGCCTGTGGCTTCTTCTCCAGGGTCACAAGTGAAAGCCCACCTCCAGTTGACTAGGAGGAAGTCCTATTATTTATTTATTTTTAAGACACTTTTGCTATAGGCACACGCACTTGCCAGAGAGTCAGAAAGCAAGAAATCAGCCCCCAGGGGGGATGGCCATGCCACAATCCCTTCTCCTCCATTCTCCTCTTGGGATTTTGGGCACGTGCCTGGCGTGAGTTTCAAGCTGCCAGATCCAGCACCCGAACTGCAGTCTGCCATGTGGGAGTCCAGTGACGTAACCATTACACCATCTACTGGTCCCAGAAATTCTATTTTTTAAAGAAACATTTTACTGAGGTATAATACATGCATAGAAAAGTGCACAAATCACTTCCTAGACACAGCTGGAAGAAGGTTAATGAAGAGAAGAGACTAAGCGTGGCTGAGCGCCGCACACGCGGGAGAAACGAGACCGCAGTGGCCAGCCCTCCAGGCCCCGCGCAGGCCAGCTGCCAGTTCGTGGGGCTCGGGGAGAGAGGAGGGAGACGGGG